CTCTTAGCTGAATCCCTTGTTTGATTTTCTCTATGTCCCAACGAGAATTTCCCATGAATTTAGTTTCAAAAAGCTTTGGTCCTCTTTTGAGGCAAGGACTCAACATATCATACAGACTTTCAAGTTTAGAATCGACTCTTAAGTCAGACACATTGTTTAATGGGGTAGAAAAGCTGAAGCTTGTCCCCCCTGCACATAATTTAAGCAAATAAGCCTTTCCGGCAAATTCCCGTCAGGCTTTACAATTACATGATCGCAAAGGCATTTGAATTAATATGGTTAATCAAATATAAAATCAGACTTCAGGGATGTGAATTAATGGATAACAATCGGGGTAATAATAATAATAAGGATGAATTCATTCAAGTGTTCATATAATCTAGGCAATGGTGAGTGTATAGGTAGAATGTGTATACTAGTAGGGGTAGAGGGGGAAATAACTATTGTCATACAGCGATTAGACAATATAATAATAAATTGTGAAACCGAGATTAAAATGTACAACTACAGCACAGAATGATATTAAAAATACAGTTAGCATTACAAATAAAATAAAATAGTAGGATAATATGCACAGTTAATCGGTGTCACTGGGATCGATAACTATTTTAGGTTGGGGGTACAGGCCAAGGTAGGGAGTGAGATTGACAAAACGTTTTCTGAACACAGAGATTGGACTGAAAAATCTTTATCATTATTATCTTATCTAGTCGCTGTGTCACAATAGTTGTTTTCCCCTCTACCCCTACTATAGTATACACATTCTACCTATACACTCACCATTGCCTAGATTATATGAACACTTGAATGAATTCATCCTTATTATTATTATTATTACCCCGATTGTTATCCATTAATTCACATCCCTGAAGTCTGATTTTATGTTTGATTAACCATATTAATTCAAATGCCTTTGCGATCATGTAATTGTAAAGCCTGACAGGAATTTGCCGGAAAGGCGTATTTGCTTAAATCGTATTGTATAATTATCATTATGGGAATATTTAAATTAATATGCTATTACTCCTAACCTACCTTGGTAATCCTCACTTGATTATATAACGAGAAGTAGTGTTAATTGTTCTTACTCTTAGATCCCTTATCACTTGGCCTTTATTTTTCATATTAACTGACTTGATAAGTAAGTGTGCGATCAGACTGCTTGAAATGTATTGCGCAAATACATCACATTTTTCAGATAATCTTCGTCTTCTAATAATACAATCCAAATTTATAAAAAGGGACTAATTGTGTTAAATAAACTTATGTGATTAGTATATATCACTGGGTATTAAAAGACACTCTGTGTAATACTTTGGTATGTATACACGTTATTTATAGTGTTAACCAATAGTATTCTGACTTTAGATTCTGAGTAACGATAAGAAATCTGGATGGTGTTATTACAGTAGAATTCAAAATAAATCACTATCGAATTCAAACACCATGACAAAGTTCCTTTTTATAAGATAGCTGGATATATTTTGTCTGATAATTCACGTAATCACTTAATATCCTGGGGTTTTCAAATTCTACTGGTTCATTACATAGAGCCGCAGTCACTTCGGAATACTTAAACGATGACGGTATTCTACTAATGGATGCTCGCTGCTATAGAGTCCTAAACTGGAACGAAACCGCTGCACGGTGCTCTTTAGCATTTTCTACCCAATGTCAACTTCAGATGAAATCCATGTGGAGACAGTGAATTAATACTCGTGTCAGATATATTAATACTTATGCAACTGTACAACTACTGAAAATGAAACGGACGAAAAGGAGTCTTTGTTGTAATTCTCGTTTCTTCTCTGAAATCGTGCTAAGCACTCTCGGTAAATTGTGATTAATTCTAGTACAGTTAATTATAAACACTGAATCTAACTTTCATACGATTATTAATAAACTGTATTTCTTTCACAATAGTTTAACTTTGACTGTTGTATTGAACAAATTGTGATATACGAATAATCTTTGTTAAATTAATTATCCTATAGATAAGTGATTTTAGTGATATACTCTACAACATCAAATATTAATCAAGTAATGAAATTAAAAAGGATTCATGTGGAATTTTAATTTTCAAAAAAGGTCAAAACAAATACCAAATTACTACTACCAATCCCTTATTTCTAATTGCCTTTACTTTCACTGTATTAATATGAGAAATTAGGTTTGTTATGTGACTGTGTGATTAAGCTAGTTGAAAAAAGGAGATACTGAATTCAACCGGAAAATTTATTTACAAAAGTTTTCTCCCTGTTAAAAATGTTGGAACAGAAATAGTTTATAGGTGTATAATAAGCGTTTCTTGTCAGAAACTCTGTAGTCCCATGAAGTTTGCTTATAAGTGTGAAGCCTTAAATACTTAGGCAACATTTCTACCGACGAACTTTACAGAACTATGCAAATTAATGTCACCAATAAGAGTGTATGATGCCAACTTATAGAGGTGTTTATTCCCTGTTATACCTAAGTGTATTCTGACTGCTTGGTGTAAAAATGGATCAATGCATCGATACAATGTCACTATATCAAGTGTAATTTTAATGTTGATGACTTCTGTATAAAGTTGAGTGAGATAGATCTGTTTATATATATAAAATAAATGAAAATCAATACAGCCTAAACATTCGTTTGTTTTTACGTAATGACTTGACGGTTATGTACACTCTAAGGACTTCATACAAGAAAAAGCTTACAAATACAAGCCTAAGGCAGTGCACAGGTGTATTAAGGGCAAAAACGTATCATTTCCTCAGAAGTTATGAAAGAAAATATCTGAAGAACATTGAGAGATGAAAGTTATATCAAAGAGGGTCGTGTGTAGATTCTATTCAACAAATGGTAGCTAACTTCAAAACATTATGAGGTACCTGATCTCATTGAACGATGATAAAACTTTAGTTTCCTATATTATGAATCGATATATTTTAACGCTTTCATAGTATTCATGAAAATAGATTTATATTGTTCAAATAACAGCAGATGTTTAGTACCTTCTTCCTTATTATTCATCAGTTTTATATTATCGCGTCATCTAAGGGTTTACTTAATACATACATGTGGAGCACTAGGATAGGACATTCAATCAGTGGTGTCGGCCTTCTCGATCATAGCTCAGCTTGCATTCTGAGTATATGCACAAGTAAGACAAGGTCTACTGATAATCTATCCACCTGAATATATATCACTTGACCATGACAAATTATCTTTCGGTAATGACTGGTGTGTTGAGCGAAAACTACTCGACTGGGAACTTCCATTTCCTAAAATGTTTCTAATCTACAAATCGTGATAATTTTAGAAGCTTACTACAACGAAATAACTATTGGAGTATCTGAATCGTCGACTTTATGAATAATCAGCAATCAGAACAAGTTATGCAGTTTCTACTGAAGTTATGAATATAAGAAGAGAATTTTAGCACTGTGGTAGAGGATAACTTCATAATTCTATGTTACATAGCACACTGATGACCTATCCAGCACAATCCGTTACTTATAATCATATCAAGGAATGCACATGACTTTTGGATTTTGTTTATATAGTTCCATTATTCTTTATCCTGTGGTTTCATTAATTGCAACATTTTCAATATCTCAGGTATTGCTGTTGAGTCATTTCTTATTGCATGTGTTTAATGTAGAAGATTCAGTGATTAGTGAAGAGAGGGTTCGTCACTATGTATTATATCAAATAAAACTATTCTCTCATGGAAAGCATTGAATAATGCATAAATGCGAACAAAATAAAAACATAAAATATGATGTATCAAAAATACAGGATTAGTACATTAATGATTTGTTTATTCCTTTTGACAATATCATGCGAATATTATTATTATTGTTTTGAGAGATGAGTTTTTCTTTATCCGGGAACTTACTGGTTGAATTTAACTATATCGTGATATAGAGGGTATACTTATTAGATGTTTTGTCAATCGGCATGTGAATTAGTAAACTAGAGTTAAGGTAACTCACCTTATTTGTAGATTGGACTTACTTTCATGAAGGGAATAAGTACAATTCGAAATATATGTGATTCATAATAAAAGGGTTACTTTAAAAATGACATTTAAATTATTTTATTTCAGGAATACAAAGGAAATCTTTTCGCATGAATTTGAGGAACGGTAACCTTATGTATTAAAACTCGGTACGTAATCAATCAATAGGAATGCACGAACGAAAGAACAATAAAAATAGTGACTGTCAGGATGTTACCTGTCATGGTCAGGAAGTATTAAAAATTTTGTGGTTACGATTTCATATAAAGAATTCATCGTAATACGGGTAGGATCCCATAATGCTCGTGTTATCATCTACTTACAGTATTTGAAAGAGGTAACTGTTTTGTTTCAACTTGAGTAGAGATTTATTAAGACATGAATGCTTTCTCAACTATGACTCTGTATAGTGATCACTGCATAGTGTGGAATATGAATTTGGAAACCGTCGACTAATGAATTTAAACTGACACTAAATAATCATCTGGTAACTTCAAGTTGAAATGACAATAAATTCCATTGTGTATTGTGACCTGAGCTGTCAAACAACAGCCCGAATGTCAGGTGTCTTATGACTTTTTTAAAGGATATCACAAATAAACTGAGACTGCCTTTACACAAGCTACATACAGTTCCTAGTTGGAAGTCTCTTCTAATTTAAAGTAAACCTTCCAGTGACGTTTCATTTTACTTTTTCATTGAGAATTTCACAATTTCAGAGTAGGAGAAGTGTGGGTTGAAACTCTAGGCGGCATTTAGGATCCACCACAGTCATATAGGTATTCTCAGGACAGTCTAAAATAGCACTCAACTTAAATAGAAATTTCCACCTATTGTGTTGCTACATTCATAGCCATATATCAGTAACTTTTAAAGGGGAAATGTTTTTAAACCGAAGTACAAGTACATCACTCCCTAAAATACTAATTTGTGATAAAAGTAGATATTGAAATTAAAAGTAAGAAACATATATAATAAGGGTTAAAATACTTACTTGGGTTTCTTCACAGTGTTGATCTGTAGCTAACCGACTAAAGTTTATATGATCAACTGAATCGAGATATTTTTTATCATTAACTGATTTCTTCATCACAGTTTACTTTTATACAATTTTTAGAATTATGTAACAGACATATGTGATTATGCTTTAACAAGACAACGTCATTCATTCATTTGTTCTAAAGAAAGAAACAGTATTTATTGAGATGAACATTGCTCATAACCATTACAGTAATATATACGCCAATAATGTTACTAAACACTGTTTGTATACCAAACAATCTGATTGACGATAAGTGAATTCAAGTGTAGAATATGTATTCCAAAGCGTTGAGTGTGTTTATATGCTGTCTCACTTGCCTGTCTATCTATCAAGGTGAATTGTAGTCGAAATGATCGTCTATGTGTGTACGGTGATAATAACAAAGAATAGTAGTGATGATAGTAACAAAAATAATAGTTGTTGTTGTTGTAGTAATTGACGTTGTGATAATCCCACCAGTCAGAGCAGAGATATTCGTGAAAGAGAAAAGAGAAAAACATTAGAAGGATTTTTTAAAAGAGTTCTGTTTAGTTTACCGACAGTAGGTCGACATTTTCTTAAGATTTCTAAGTCAGAGTTATAAATCGTTTTCTAATCAATGCAAGTAGTACGTCCGAGGAATACAAAATAAAAGAAACCAATTCTACGTATAAAATTTAGTAAACATTGGTGAATTCCTGCATTCAAATATATATATATATATATATATACGCTGAGAGCAATTCATGATTTGTTTGTAGACTAAAATAAACGCAAACAATAAAATGTTTAGAACAAATGCGACCAAAAAAATATAAGGAAATCAGAAGTACTCGATATCACGTTTAAACCTGAATGGAAAACAACTTGTCAGATTTAACTTCTCTACGAAAACGAGCTTTGTCATTACTATGATTCACTTTACGCATCTGATTTTTTTGTGTAGTTTCAAAATATATAATACAAACGTAACTCATGGGTAAGTTAGTGTGGGAATTTTTAAAGACGGTAAATAGGAATCTGATGAGAATAAGAATGTAATCTGTGAATAATAAGAGGTACATATACAATGGTTTCTCTTTTAATGCTCGTAAAATGAAAGATCTGGATACAGGTCAACTGAAGTTTCTAAAAAAGATACCAACACAGTAGTGTACCAAAGTGATTTATAAAATTTTGGAAGAAGTAAGTAACTGTTCAAAATCAGAAAATGTACCAGCTTTTGAAAGGTTTCAACTTCTTTCATCTTTATATTATATAATTTTCTGCAGCCTATTTCCAAATAATTTAAATCAGTTTCACCACATCAAAGTCCGACTTCCCAACAGTCTTGATTAGTAACACATGATACAATTCTATTTTAGCAAAAAATATACAAGCACTTTCAACTGAAAGGAAGACATTATTGTAGGGATATATGTAAAAATTATTTCTGCATAAATCTTGGAGAAATCGAAACAAGTAATTCCAACTTTTCATTGGACCAACTGGTCCAAATTGCTTCAAGACAATAATCAAAGTTGTAGACGGAGTCTTACTAACTTCTATTTCTCACTGAGAATTGTTCCTAACTGTTGCATCATCATGATAGTATCCGTATTTGGTAGGGAATATTGTACAATTCTTAATGCCTGTTTTCAGTATTTTGATATTTTGATTATTACCCTGATGAAGTCCAGACCAGTTTGCTGATCGCCACGCTCAAATTATTTATTTCAATTTCCTTAAGATGTATACAAATGTAAGTATTAAATATGTCTACTTGCCATTCAGCGCCAAATTACTGTGGATCTATTGCTTTAGATACTGATCAGAGTTTGTATAAATAAGTGTAGTGAATTTCAGTATCACCGAAATGGACATGACCGTTCAAAATGACACAGTTCCCGGTTTTAAAAAATATCAACACAGTTTTCCTTGGAATCACAAACTATTCGTATCTCAAAAGTCTGCCTCATATGACACTGTATATGATAACAAAAAAGTGAGATAAATTTAAGACACAAGGCTTAGTTGCACTAATAATTAACGTCAGCAGGCACTGGTTACGTATATTATATATACTTTTTAAGTGAGTGGTATTTTTAGGGTCAAACATCAATAATTATGAATGTTTCATTTACGAAGAACACTGTCTACCAGAAGAATACACTTCAGACGATTATCCGACTTGACGAATAACATATAGTCAAATATATTAAAGACTGAAATTACGTCAACAAAATAAGATGAACACTTTTCCCTATTCGTGATGAAATTTCTGTCCATTAAAATGCATCGATTTCACATCATTTCACATCGTCCTTATTTCCAATCATCAAAAACATACGGAATCTATGCTTGAGCACAATTTTAAAAATCAGTCTACATACAACCAAAAAGTTTTCGAAGGAAATCATGAAAGAACATCGTCGAGAAGCATTCAACCATACTTAGGATGAAACACTACAGTCACAAGTGATATATTACCCAATATTCTCCTGTTTCAAGATTCTACGCAAAGAGTTAACACCGAGAAGCGAAACTCGCACAAAATCCTGCAATACGTCAAAACCATTTCGTCAGAATGAAACTTTATTATTCTTAATGCAAGAAATATATATATATATATATATATACCTGACCTAGTTTACTGGCTTGCTAGTTTTTTTTGTCGATACTAAGCCCGGGTAAAGGCGGGGGGTTGGGCATAGGGCTAGCGACCCTACACTACCGAACCAATCAAACAGCTACAGAAACGTAAACGCACAAGAAACATATTAAAAATGCAAAAAATTTAGTAAACAAACTTATTGCTCGCCAGAATCGGGGAGGCGAAAAGACGCGGGCTGGTGGAAGCCTTCGGGAAGCCAGTCAACCGATTTCTCTTCTCTTGGTGAAAGCAAGAATACGAATGGGGATGTGGAATGTTCGCAGAATGTACGAAGCTGGGAAGGCCGCCCAAGTGGGCAAAGAAATGAGAAGATATGGCATAAAAGTGTTCGGAATCTGCGAGAGCAGATGGAATGGATGTGGACTGTCAAAATTGTCAACTAGAGAGTCAATAATCTACTCCGGTCATCCAGACGACAACCACGAGCACACTGAGGCAGTGAGAGGCTATCATAGTGTCACCAACAGCAGGCAAAGCTCTAATGGAGTGGCATCCAATCTCCTACAGGATTATGAGGGCAAGATTAAACTCAAAAGGAAGGAAGGTTACGGTTATCATGCAATGCTACGCGCCTACAAGAAACTCGGAACAAGAGAAGAAGGAGGATTTCTATAGACATCTGCAAACAGTAATGGATAACATCTGAAATTCAGAAAGAAAAATCCTAATGGGTGATATGAATGCAAACGAAACTGGGAGCAGACAGACAATACAGGAGGCGAATTCATCATGAGTCGAGAGGCTCTCACTCGGCGAAACGAATAACAATGGAGAACTCTATGCAGACTTCTGTGCCTTCAATCATTTGGTGATCGGAGGCGGCGTGTATAAACACAAGAATATACGCAAGGTAACATGGACTTCGTCTGATGGACACACCGAAAACCAGATAGACTTCATCTCAATGCTGCTCTAGAAGGTGGAAACGCAGCCTGCCGGGCACAACGTTAAGAAGGGGAGCAGATGTGGGCTCAGATCGACATCTAGTTCAAGGTATGTTCAAAGTCAAGCTGGAATCCTTTAGAACAACTGGAAACAGGCCACAACTCACGTCCAAGACCCAGAAGCTGAAGGACGAAACTACAAAGGAAACCTTCACTGCAGATATCAGAGCAAAGTCGGAGATCTTACTTGGCATCACTGAGGAAACCTACGTGGAATAACAGTGGAAAACTCTGAAGGTGATTCTCAAGGAAACGTTTACAACCATTTTGGGAAGAAAGAAGAGGTAAGACAAGAAACTGCTGTTTACAAACACCTGGAATCTTATCGAAGAGAGGAGGTGAGAGGATAGTGAAAGAGAATTGTGATGACTCAGTGCAAAGATGGACAACAGAAGGAGAAGCCAAGCTCCGTGTACACTGCTCTGAATCAGGAAGCCAAGATGAGGGATACGAAAGGCAGAAGAGAATTCTACACCTCAGAATATTATAACAGATAACCAGGTCTCTATCCGAGAAGAGATCAGCTCAGATGATGAAACCAATAAAAGATGTTCAAGGGAACCTAATCACCAAGAAGGAGGAACAAATAAAACAATTGTCTGATTACTTTAAAGGACTCTTGAATCGACCATCACCTGCAGCTCGACCAGAAATAACACCAAGAGCTCGCACCGAACTGCCTGCCAGTGGACACCAATCCCCCAACAAAAGCAGAAATCCTTAATGCGATCAAGCTACTGAAAGCCAGCTGGGAAGGCACCAGGACCAGACGGAATTCCCCACGAAGCACTGAAAACGGACCCAGAGAATTCCACAGATGTGCCCACGTCATTACTGCAAGGAAGGAAGGGTACCTGCCGATTGAAAGAAAGGCTGACCACCTTGTCAAGCTACCAAAGGAGGGCGACTTAGGCATCTGCAAAAAACTGGCGTGGAATCATACTCTTGTCCACACCAAGTAAAATACTAAGTCGCATCACCCTGGAGAGAATAAAGGATCCACTGGATACATACTTCCGCCAACCGGAACAAGCTGCATTCAGAAAAGGCAAATCATGTGCTGACCAAATTGCAACTCTACGCATCGTCATCGAACAGATCATAAGATGGCAGTCAAACCTCTACCTCAACTTCATCTACTTCGAAAAGGCGTTCTAAGTGAATACAGGAGTAAGACAAGCTGGCTGCCTATTGTCACCGATGATATTCTTAATTGTGGTGGACTGGACTATGCGTCATACTGTGCACAGGGACCGAGAAGACAGGAATTTGCTGGACCACCTATAAGAAGACTCTAGAAGATCTGGATTTCACACATAATTTATGTTTAATGTCACACAAACTTGAAGACCTGCAGGCCCAAACCAAGAAACTGGTGGAAGAAGAAGGCAGCAAAGACAGGACTCGAGGTGAACATAGAAAAGACGGAGATGGTGAAGATAACCAATGAACCGCAACAACAACCAGCACCAATCACCATCAACAAGAGTGATTTGACAGAGGTTAATTCCTTCACTTGTCTAGGTGGCATCGTTTCAACCACAAACGAAACGGATCAAAATATCAAAGCCAACCAGCCAGAATCGGGAAGGCAAGATACGTATTCAGACTTTCATCAACAGCCGTCTTCGCTCCATACTGAAGATCAAATGGCCAGTTGACCAGGAAGAATTAGCAACAAGAAACTCTGGCAACAAACCAACCAAGAGCCGATCACACAACAAATATGTAGGAGAAAATGGAGATGGATCGGGCATATATTGAGGAAAACATCGAATGAC